CACCCGCCTCGCCACTCCAAAAGGTATGTTTTTTACAACATGGTTCCTATGGCATGACGTGGGGATAAGGTAGCAGTGGGTGTCACTAGGTTTAGAGTAGAGTTTGGTGTGGACAACATCACCAACAGCATAGACATAGGTGTCTAGAAACTCAACGCCGTCCCTAGAGTAGTCGTAAGTAAACAAAAGGTTTGGGTGGATACTATTGAGCCATTCCATGAATTGTAATAATTCCTCAACAGTACCGGGCCAAGCCATATAAATGTCATCACGTAATCTACCCCAGAATGCTGGTCTATGAGGCGGGCCATATTCTAGATCTCCTTCGTTAACTAAAATATCAATCTTATCCATAGCACAATCAGCATACTCACATGAGTTCTTAGGACCCATCGCTGCTCCACGCTCCTGGCGGTATGTTATACCGTTAAATGAAGCAATGTTGTAATCAAGAGTAATTTCTAGTGCACTAATAATGCATTCTGTACTAAACAATTGATCACCACTACTCCTTTTATTCAGGTGCTTAGTGCATTGTTGGATCCCCATATCCCTAGGAATGTTGGTAAACATGTTAGATATATATATATATCTATCTATATATATATATGCAATATATATATATATATATATTGCATGCATAAAACTAGTTTAAGTCACCAATGCACAATCTGAAGTTTGTGAACCTCAACTAAGCCTTTCACTTGTTATAGCTATAAACATTGATATCCATTTACTATTATCATGTACCCCAGATAATAAAACATTGGGTTAGATCCCTTTGTTGGATACCTGGGCGTGGCTTTGGCAGCTGCAACTTATCCCTAGTATAGTAGTAGTAACAATTAACAATAGTAGCGGGCATGGAAGTTATAAACGTTGTGATCTGACCATTAAAATCAGCTTGAACCAGTTCAGCAGGGTGGAGTAAGGAGATCCCATGCTAGGAATTTCACAATATCCTAGCAAGTTGTGGATATTTTACGCCTCAAAATTAAGCTAACTCAGTTAGCAACTACTGTTTTAAAAAACCTTATACAGAATATTTCCGGAGCACGCACCTGATCGGTAGTACTCGAGTATATCTGGCATTCTTAAGTACTGGTATTGTAAATATAGTGCATATACTTGGACACGTTTTGCGATAGGTACTTGTAAATTAGACCGCATGGCTAAGCGGTCCATTTTCCAGCTTCCTACTCAGTTGTAAGTTATACCTTGGCCAGAACAGAGAGAGAGATACCTTGGCTAACTCTAAGTGGTACCGGATACGTGTAAAACTAAGTAGGAAACTGGCAAGATCAAGTGCGCACTACAGTACGATTACCCAAAATGGTACTGTTTTCTATTTTTCAAGAGGTCCAAGCTTTTCATGAAGTTCTTAAGCTAAGTAACATTATCTCACGTCATTTTATCTCAAGTTAAATGTTAAGATCTAAGTTGTTAACTTTTCCCATTTTTACTTTGGGATCGTTTAAGTAGCTCACTTGTCACCATCCCCTTTCGTAAACCGCTTTGCAAATCGATAAATTTCGCAAACATTTCCAAATCCACTGTAAAAAGCACCCATAAAACTGCTGGGGGTATACTTTAATATGGTCATCCCCCCTCCTCCCCACTGCTGAGATACTAACCAAACTGCTGACTGATCAGAAATGAAAGGGAGTGATATTATTGTACAGCGCAACTTCAGAATTTTGAAATTGCGGACATTTCTGGCATGAATGCATGATACCATAGTGATCGGTCTAGTTTTGTATAAACACTACCTATCGTTTACATAAATTACACCATTATTACAATACTGATTGACCCTTCGACCAATCAAAAGTTGCTCTTTCAAGACATTGGTGTGGTGGTTAGTCACGTGCCACAATGTTAACCTTTGGTTGGTGGATCTTCTTCCGATGCAAAGCTTTAAATTTATGCACGAGCTGACACACAGTCGTTAGTGTCTCGTGGTCCTTAACAACTATTGGCTGAGCCGCAACCCCATATTACGCAAGACAACAGATAAAACTACAACGTTTATTATTACGACGGAAATAGACAACAGATAGATAAAGGTTCTGGTAACACATCTGTTTTGTGATAATTACGGAGAGGTTATTATAATTATGCGGAGAAGTTATAATTATGCGGAGAGGTTATAATTATGCGGGGAGGTTATAATTAAGATCACGTAAACACACGACCCACTTCCTAGCATCCACAGAGCCTACGTTATTTACAGCGTAGTGGACCCATTTCTGAAAAGTAAAACAAAACATCTACCGAGTTAACCAAATTAATAGTAAATATTAGGGAGGAGTATATTTAGTAACTCAGGAGTGTGTCACTGTTAGGGGGTCCATTGCCATCCTTACATTTTGATTAGCAAAAATAACGGAACTAAGACTAATTTAGCTGAAGTTACGCGATAAGCTTAAAAGTTAAACACCAAGTCAAATATCGTTTTAAGTGTTGAAATGCTGCTTTTAAAAATAAATTCTAGCTTTTATTTGATTGCTCCAATTTCACATGTATTGGAAATTTGATGATTACCTTACACTTATACTAACAGAAAGAAGTTGACCAAGTCTAACTCAATGTCAAACACATCTACAGTGTCTTACAATACTGATAAACTGGGAGAGCCTCACTACAGAATCTGTGATGTCTTACTGGCGCCAGCATTGTGTGTTTGCTTCTTGGTGGGATTTCCAGGCAACATTTTGTCTCTGAGATACTTTTTATCTAAACCAGGACGAAGCTTGTCAGTTAACCTGTACATAGCATCATGCTGTATCGACAGTTTTACCAGCATCTTCCACCTGCCTGTAGCTGCAGTTCTGTTTAACCAACGGAACCCCGGGATAATGGACAATCCTACCTTTTGTTCATTCTGGTACCTGATATTTGATTTTCTACAACAGATGTCGATGTTCTTGGTTTTGTTAATGTCGGTATCAAGAACTCTAGCCATCATGTTTCCGTTCTTTAGAATTAATAAAAGAGCTGTTATTCTATCGATACCTGTGTATGCGGCGTATTTAATCCTAAGTTTCTTGATCACACACATTTCAGCATACACGTTGTTTACAAAGCCAAATATTTTATGTTTCACTAATCCAAAAGATTATTTCTTGGGTTTGGTGTATGAAATAAGTTACAATATTTGTATTGGCGTTCCTCCAATATTAATAACCGTGGCTTTTATTGTGACGATGATAAAACTGAGAAAAGAACAAAACTATGTCCAATCAGCATCAAAGAAAAATATGTTTCAAGCTTCTGTGACGATATTCTATTTTACAGCAGTGTTCCTGGCTTGTAATTTAATAACTTTCGCCGGCTGTCTCTTGTATCTGATTACTGTGAAGATTCTCAACGATTGGGACCTATATTACGCAATCGAGTTCATTTTATTTTATTGGTGGTTTTTGTCGAGCCTCTTCTGCATGGTGTTAAATGCAGCACTGAACCCGATTCTATATTTCTGGCGGATGAAGGAACTACGGTTGTTCATTTTGACCTTAACACATCAGTAGAGTTAAACCAGTAAATGTAGCTGCTAATTCATGTAGCGCTCACGGAGACGTCGGAAGAACCGGGGGGTTATCTTCAACAACACTGCCTCAATATTGGACCGGGGGTTATCTTCAACAACACTGCCTCTGCAATATTGGACCGGGGGTTATCTTCAACAACACTGCTTCAATATTGGACCGGGGGTTATCTTCAACAACACTGCCTCAATATTGGACCGGGGGTTATCTTCAACAACACTGCCTCAATATTGAACCGGGGGGTTATCTTCAACAACACTGCCTCAATATTGAACCGGGGGGTTATCTTCAACAACACTGCCTCAATATTGGACCGGGGGTTATCTTCAACAACACTGCCTCAATATTGGACCGGGGGTTATCTTCAACAACACTGCCTCAATATTGGAACAGGGGTTATCTTCAACAACACTGCCTCAATATTGGACCGGGGGGTTATCTTCAACAACACTGCCTCAATATTGGAACAGGGGTTATCTTCAACAACACTACCTTAATATTGGACCGGGGGTTATCTTCAACAACACTGCCTCAATATTGGACCGGGGGTTATCTTCAACAACACTGCCTCAATATTGGAACGGGGGTTATCTTCAATTCTTCAACAACACTGCCTCAATATTGGACCGGGGGGTTATCTTCAACAACACTGCCTCAATATTGGACCGGGGGTTATCTTCAACAACACTGCCTCAATATTGGACCGGGGGTTATTTTCAACAACACTGCCTCAATATTGGACCGGGGGGTTATCTTCAACAACACTGCCTCAATATAGAGAGAAAACCATAGAGTTAAACCAGTAAATGTAGCTGCTTTATGTGCTCAAATAGCGCTCTTATATTGGGAATTATCTACAGGACAATGGACAATGGACATACTTCTATCACGATTCACCTAGCGAGATTAATTTGTAAACCACTATTCGAATAAGGCAATTGGTTTTTAGTTATAAATTTCACGATGACTGATGAGTAATATTTTTAAAACAACATTTCATCAATATTTAAGAAATTTAAGAATTTTACTTTGAAAAAACCCATATAATAGGCAATCTATCATTTGTACTTCATGTATAATAATTATGAATAATACAATTCCTAAACTGCTTAAACTGAAATGTTCCAATCCAAGCTTAAAAACAGAAAATCATTTTATTTTTATTGGATCCCGATCAAAATAAGAATTCTTTGGGTTGAATCAGTGCCATTTTCTCTCCCCCCCGGCCCCCGGCCCCCCGGCCCCCGGCCCCCGGCCCCTACTAGGTCCTTCTCAGTGGTAACAAGCTAGTCCTGAAGCTAGTGGTGAAAATTTATGGTGCCGTCTAAAATGGTGGTCGGCAGAGAGATACCGCCACCACACCAAAAAATAAAATGCAAACATACGATGATGCGCAGTATAACGTAAAATTCAAAACAATAATAATTGATAACTAACTAAAGTTAACTTCAGATATGTGATAAGTGAGCTGGCTAAGTCGTACAGGACCCCTATTCCCTCCCAACAAACAAGAGACACCTTCTGTAAAACTACTCTTCTAATAGTTCTACTTACCTCCCTCTTCCTATTGTGAGTATTATTTTTAGGTAGTCGTGACTTGTGGGATTATTGAACTAGGATCTGACATAGTTTTTAAGCTTATCCTAACTTCCTAAGTCATATACCCTTATCTTATTGGTACAAAAAGATGCCAGACTTTTGGCGTTGTCGTCTGATCAGTTTACCAATTTATATCAGTTTACCCACTTTTGTCCTTATCACAATTAATTTTAATATTATTAAATTCTAATTACATGTACCCCCCCTACAGGTGTTATATCCCAACTCTAGTCTTCTATTTCCTGAACAGTTTAGAAACTTTAACTGATTCCAAACTCTCGTTCATTAGCAGTATCCCCGGCCAGAAATCGTTCATCACCTTGTTTTCGGTGAGACCTTCATAAAATCTAAATTTGAATATTTTGAATAGACTCAAACTCAGATACTCAACGAGTATGTTGTGTCCAGTTATTTAATGATCTAAATGATCGAAACAATGCTTGTCATCACAAGTTTTGTCACCGTAACTTTGAAAATCAATACAACATTTTAAACCATTTTAAACATTTAATATTTGTAATAAAAAATTTCTCCAGATCAAGTTCCTTATCCCGACCCTGTACCCGGCACTAGGGCCAGCCCTGCAATTCTGTGGAACGTACCGGCAGAGAGAGCGACAACGTCGAGCCACGTCATTCTTCATCAAGATGAGGCCCAGCCGATTAAACAGTACGTTTGCCATGTGGAGGAGAGCCACTAGATCCACCCAGGTGATGGGCCAGTCCCTGACTATGCCTGACGACCAGCAGAACAGTCCTCAGTTCACTCACACCCCCCTCTGAGAGCAGAGAGGCTCTGAGATCCACTCATCCACTGCTCAGTTTAATTTCAGAGTGAGGAGAATGGTACAATATGTGTCATATTATGAAACTGGAACAGTGGTTTTCTGCTGGAGTGTAGCCATGCTGGAATATGGGCTGTGTAATCGAAAGAGAGTACATCGGTGGATCGACCATTTGAGTGAAATTAGAACAACTAGAAACTGACGGACTATTTGGTTGAAATAGGATTAGAAATGAATATGTATTTGAAGTTTGAGAATGAGGAGCACCATGCCAGAAACACAATGTGTTGTAGCGTGTGTAAAAGAATGAGAGGAAGACAGTTTCTACGGCTATACATGAGATTTGTCTTGAGCACTTGCGGGACTTATATTTATTATGAAGAGTGAGAGTACGAGGAGACTGGTTGATCCTAGAAACTGATGGAAAATCCCGCGTACAAAAAAACCCTTAATATCGAGCTCATCTTTCAACCGACTTATTTGTAAATCTAATTTTATCCTTCTCATGACTTTATCCAGTCTCAAACCAATACAATTAGTAACTGGATGAGTTCGATACTTCTATGACACTTTGGGGTGTAAGTATAAAGTAGTGAATATTATAGATTGTAGTCTTTGCAGATTTTAAGAAAGTAAGTTGTGGAATGTAAATGAAAATGAACATTTTATGACCCTGATGATTTCATTCTATAATGTCAATCAACAAACTATTGAATAATGTATTAACATTGTAAAATGATTGGTTGATAAATTTTAGCTTCCTCAACTATACAATTGACTGTTATCCTAAATATATTTATTATTTGTATTTAATTATTGTATTAAAAAGGGGAAAGGCCATCTGATCTCGCGCTCAATCAATGGCTAGATGTCAATGTCAATGGCTAGACTGTATTTATGATACATTTATGTACATCTTAAGAACACAACGCCTTAAATTTTTTGAACAAAACCAAAGCATAAATAAAAGATTTGTATTTCAAATAAATATTGATTGATTCGATTTAATGGATTTAATTAAATAATTTATGAAATCCCTTATCAAGAATACTCACTAGATGGAGAAATGTAACCATACATTGACAATTAAATATCAATAATATTTGATGTTTATTCATATTGTATTTGTTATCACCACACTTTTATGTTTGTCGTGTGAAATTGTAGTTTTATTTGAATTTGTTGCAATTACCGGAATTTATTAGTATTTTTTCACTCTGTACACCAATTGTGCCACATGCCATCTATATTCTATAGTTGACTGACCAATTGGTCACTGGAGAAGAATTCAGTCAAAACTGTAAAATTTCGGTCCTGGAAATTTCATATTCAAAAACTGAAAATGGGACAGGGAATGGGACAATATGATTTTTTAATGTTCTTCGGGATATTAACTTCCAGTACCTCAATTTTGTTGATTTTGACTGACTAATTCGTTGCGGGTTTGTTTGTTTGGGGACCAGCTTTTGGTACACTGGTTAATTTTTTCTATAATATTGAAGTATTCTGTATTACATTAAAATTAGATAAATATAGATACCTGTAGGACATACCAACATTGAAAATATCCAAAAATTGAAACGATTAATGATTTCTATAATATTGAAATATTACATTAAAATTAGATAAAGATAGATACCTGCAGTAGGACATTCACATACCAACATTGAAAATATCCAAATATTGAAACGATGTACCGTAGCACACAACACAAAAAGTAAAACTACTAGCAACGTGTCCTCATAAGAAAAAACCCTAGATATACCTAGCCTTGGTGAGACCTGCTTCGCGATTGCTATTCAGCGATGTGTGCTCCACAAGTCATCACATACCTAAGTTACAATCACGGTTGCAGTTTTAAATTCACAAAAAAAGTTCCTCGTTATATTAACAGCAAAAATGAACAAAATATATACGCAGCAATTTCTTACATGCATTACTGATACAGAGTGACACCGACACTCAAATCATACAAATACTAATATAGATAACGAAAATACTGTCTGTTACACCTTATCTACAGTGAAAATCCATCCCTAATATAGTGATATGTGGTTGGTTGAGCAGTTGTCATTTCCTTCAATTTAACAACATAGTCAATAAGGGTGGCACTGTGGTCAGTGACTCGTGTTGGTTTGGAAACAGTTTGACCAAAACCCATGTGAATGAAATCGGTCGAGCGACCGATTTCATTCTCGGTATCATTTTGTATTTGCAGACGATGGCAGCGGTCCACTCTACCCAATTATGGGTTTTGGTCAAATTACGATACTGTAAAAATTATTTCAAAATATTTGATATTTCAGAATTTATAGGCTTTTTACACGAGAAAGTTTCAATTTTTTGTCCTTTTCACACTTACAATGCACAGGAGGCCCACAGGAGTGCACTGCACGGTTAAAATGTATTATTCACAGTATACAGGCATATTACAAGTCCCGTTGTATCGATATAATGCGGTTAAGATCACTTGTCTGCCACACTCAAGAGCCATGAGGGCAGGAATGAGTTAAGTGTACATGTTCATTGTTCAGTGTAAGGTATTTAAGTCACCCTACCTGAGTGCTCTGTGTTTGGTTTATATTGTGATACATCCTCATTGATCTCATGAAACTTTACCTTCTGTGTTGACCGTTTAATCATTCAGTTTCAATTGTTGTCGTTAGTTCATGCTTCTAGTTTTAATTCAGTTGAGTACGTCTTAGCTTAGCAGAAAAATAATCATCAATTACTTTCCAGTCCTCAGCTAGTTACAAGTTCCTTAATTAAAACCTATCGATTTCAACATCAGGGGGGGGGGGGGCGATAGACAAGTTTTACCGATACATCTTCTACAGGTTCAAAATGGTTCAGCTCCCTAATCCAAGTATGACATTGGCCGGATTTCTTGCCCAAATTTGTTTATCAAAGATCATATACAGAGCGTCAGATGGCACCTTGAACGATTCAGTAATCTGCAGGAAGGAGGGGATACTGTGGTTTCTGCTGGTCACCATCTCCATTATAGTGGGTTTCATAACGGCCATCAAAAGTAAAGAAAACAAATTGGCTCAGGGACTTCTCACGTTTGTGGGATCTCTCATACTGAACTTCAGCGGTGACAATCTCGGATACTTGACACTTTACTGCACCAAACATCATTATTCGAACACCAGGGACATCTACACATACTGCACCATCCCAATTATGGGACTGGCATCCATTGTCATAATGGCACACATCCTGAAAAAGGTTCGCTCAGTTGCTCTGCTGCGCGAGGCAACTGAAGATAATACCAATCGGCCGGACCCAGAAATTATTCTGTTGGGGGTTTGCCTTCAATTCACGGTCAGAAAGATTGTTTACGTTACTCCTGCAAGCAATCAGCATCTTTGGTTTTGCGCCAAGAGTGGGTTGGGAAGTTGGCTGGAGCTTTTGGCAGTGTCAGGCATCCTCGTCATCTTCACCTGCATAACAACATCAAAACAATATAGGGTAACTCGGTCATTGCTAACATTTTTTGGCTCATTCATCATACATCTAACTATCGGTGGTATAGGAAGTAAAGCAATCTCTTGTGCAAGTCCTACACCAGAAGATAATCAGGATAACAAAATGTATATAACACGTCAATATGTCACTTTGATCCTCAACGGGATATCTGCCCTTATCCTCATCGTCCTGAAGAACAATCCACCTCATCCACAAAACCCTGGTCCACCAGCCCACATTCCACCAGCTCCCATTCCTCCAGCCCACATTTCTGGGGTTATTGTTGCTCCCCATGCTCCTCCCTATCCTGGCCCTCCACCAGCTCCATATACTCCTGCACCTCCCACCCCTCAACCCCACCCTCGAGCTGCTGCTTACACCTGCCGTCCTGAAGAGCCCTACACATCAAGCGAACAAAACCCTCCTCCCTACTCCTTTTCAAAAGATGATTTGCCTCCTCCTTACTCCAGCCTCCCAAGACCTAGCCGTTAAGTTCATCAGAAACTTCTATTGACTTTACGCTACTAAATTTATAGGTACTGTTAACTGTTATCATGCTGTCATGTACTTCAACGAACACAGATATTTATCATTGTTATTATTATGCAGAATATTGATTCTAATTTATACTAGAGATCCTTTTTGGTGGAGAGCATGCACATGTCATGACGTCATGAAACTTGTTTAGTCATATGAAAATATTCCAGTTCAATGACACCACGATGACTCGCCAGTATAACAATCTGGTGGCCTACATAGTATTGTTATGAGGTTGAGAAATAGCAACCACGTGACCTAAATGTCACGTGATAACAGTTTATGTAAACTCGTGTGAGAACATTCTTCCCAGGAGACGGATGTCTGTTGCGGCCATCGATAAATGTTACCAAATATGAGTTGTTAACTTCAAGTGGCCTCACACTAAGAGGTAACTTTTGGTACCAAATTTATCAAAATCGGAGACAAAAAATGCTGTGCCATCTCATGGCGCTTATTAGATAGACTACATCAGCGATCCTGGTTCTATAACAGTAGTAAGGTATTCTATTCACCATCGTAAAGCCTCTAAACGTCTACAACATCTCGTGAGAGGTTCTGGAAATATATCGATACAACAGGTTGTTTCGTTCAGTAATTTCAAATAACATGTGTTCACCAGTTTATCGTCCTCAGCTTGTCATGATCTTATTTTCAGATTCCTCCCTAATCTCGGCAGGTCTCTGCCTGATATTTTTCACGATGTGTCTAATCCTGAGGCCTGTCACTGGACAAATGAGAAATACAGCATAGTTTCCTCAGGACGTCAGGACTTCTGGCTTGGTTGTTGTGAACTGTTCTACGATTGAAAGTTCGGAGGAGAGAAAAGTTGGCAACACGTGTCTTATTGCATACAAATACAGAATTTTGATAAAAATTATTTCACCTATGCACGGTGACTCTTTATTCGATTTATTTTAAAGGTTTATTTCTATTTTGATGCATTTACTATAGTATCATATCTACCAAAAATATGTTCAGGAATCTTATTATGAAGAGTTTTTCTTGTCAAGGGCAAGCATCATGGTGCTTATTTTTTAAAAAACTTTATAAAAACACCAGCCACCAGGGAGCATGTGTAGTGTGTACAAATCAGTGTGCAATACTAAACATACCCACTTTCTCTCTCTCTCTCTCTCTCTCTCTCTCTCTCTCTCTCTCTCTCTCTCTCTCTCTCTCTCTCTCTCTCTCTCTCTCTCTCTCTCTCTCTCTCTCTCTCTCTCTCTCTCTCTCTCTCTCTCTCTCTCTCTCTCTCTCTCTCTCTCTCTCTCTCTCTCTCTCTCTCTCTCTCTCTCTCTCTCTCTCTCTCTCTCTCTCTCTCTCTCTCTCTCTCTCTCTCTCTCTCTCTCTCTCTCTCTCTCTCTCTCTCTCTCTCTCTCTCTCTCTCTCTCTCTTTCTCTCTAAATCTCTCTCGCTGTCCTACATTTTTCACTTATCAAAATAAAACATGTTTAATGAAATGAAATCTACATGGTGCACATTATATGTTATCATTATGTAAATATGAGTCTATAGTAACACTAACATAATTCTCTTTGTTCCATCATGAGTTTTATGCCGCGAGCTCGATCTTTCGTACGTCTCCTTACATTTTTCTCACATTTACATATTTGTTAGTACTCATGATTCACACATGGAATAATTGTTTATTTACTAACTAATTTAGATAATTCGTTATTATGTGTTTTAATTGGCTCTTACTAATTCGCTCGCCCAAAAATTATCACGTGACTTTGGTTTTTATGATTTTGCAGCCGAACAAAACGGTTTTACATAAACCCTCATCCCAACCCTAACAATAACCCCAAAGCTATCCATAACCCTAACCCAAACCCGAGCCCTAAACAATCAAAATTGTGTTTTACTAGCCTGTCACGTGACCAAAACAGTTTTTTGGGATGATGATTAATCACTCTACACTAGACTGTCGCGTGACTTTTTCAACCCGTTCTCTAGCTGGCCCTGAATTAAAACGACTATTCAAACTCTAACCTGATCCAAACCCTAACTCTATAACCTAATCCCTAACAAAAGCATATTCTGAAACTCTAACATTAACGGTTTAACCCTAACGAGAAATTAGATCAACTTCCTAATACGGTCATATCACGTGATCGAGACGGTTTTTCGCCAATATCTCGTCAGGGGAGCATTTTTACCCTATGAGTATTGCTGAAAGCACAGTGTAAGGCCTACACGGACCGCCTCTAACTAGCCAATCCCTGTTTACATGCCGTGTAGCAGGGGACTAGAAAGAGCTAAACTAGTAAGCGGGGCATAGCATGGGGGTGATTCGGATTCAGCGTCCAAAAATACACTGAACCAGTTTCATTATATACCTTAGGGCCTTTTCACAAGAATTTGAGTCTACACTATACATGTCACTATAAGTAAAGAGTCTATAGTGATATATAGACCCTTCACACTTTGTTTCTGTCTAGTTCTAATGTACCGTCACAATAGTGACTTTAAAATATATATGATTATGTAAATATATTTACATATTTGATAGTACTCGTAATTTATTGATTCACACATAACATGGAATAATTCTTTATTTACTAACTAATTTAGATGACTCGTTATTATGTATTTTAACAATTGACTGGGATCGACTTTAATTTGTATTTCAGCTGAATCGTCGGTCAGTTCAACTTTTTTTCCCCTACGATTTACAAGCGCTATGATTGGTTGAATTTAGCAGGCACGTAGCCAGGATTTTTCTTGGGGGGGGGGGGGGGGCTGTCGGTGAGCGAAGCGAGCAAGCTGTGGCTGGGGGCGCAGCCCCCTCCGGGGTCCAGGGGCGGAGCCCCTTGGCGTGGGCTTTGAGGCGCAGCCCCCCGGAAACTTTTTGCGAAATAGGGTGTTTTAGACGACATTTGGCATTAAAGAAATTTGTAGGACGGCAATAAACTGGGATTGAAAAGAATCAAGTACTCACGTAAATTTGGTAACTTCACAACAGCAAATGTAATCTGCATTCTTCAATCAGAATTTACGATTTACTCAGGCCTCATCGTCTTAAGATTTTGACATTTCCTACGGTCTAGGGGGCACTATTGACTATTTATAGATGTCTTCTAGAATGTTCGCTTGGATGTTATGACAGATATTTCATATCTGTCATAACAGCCCCCCTAGCGCCCCCCCCCCCCCCCCCTGGCTACGTGCCTGGAATTTAGTGATCTTATTAGTCCTGTTTATTATTAGTCCTGATCGCAACAGAGGAGTGACGTGCCTAACTGAGTTTTGTTGAAGTAAAGTAACTTAATTTGTGTTCGTTTCCTCAGAACTTAGTTTTATTCTAGACTTTGAAAAAGAGCTTTAACAACATTTTTGCTGAGTTGACATTCTGGCTTTTGAACTCCCTTGAACTCTAAAATCAATTTCAGGAAAAGATCATGAAGACCCCCCCCCCCGGCCCTTATAACCTCCGTTATTCAATGTAACGATGACAGTCTCGTGACTAATTCACGCCGCAATGAGGTTCCTTCTGTTTGTTTACATGCCGCTTAGCAGTATAACTATATTGGTTTTGTTTTCATAGTTTACACGATATGGCTCATGCAGCTGCTCCATCCAAATACTGAAATAGCAAGTACCAAGATATAAATCTCCTGCAGGATTACACAGGATTTACCCCTGTAGGGTAATACTATTAGACATTAGTAATACACTACAGGGGTAATACTATTTATTACTATTTATTACTATTTATTACTATTTATTACTATTTATTACTATTTATTACTATTAGACATTACTACTATTAGTTAGATGGTATAATTTCCAGTTTTATTTTGTTACGCACGGAGATGTGAATGATCTACTTAATAGTTAATACTAAAAATGATAGTTCGTCCGTTTATCAGACGGGGACAATTATGAGCTTTTCATCTTAGAAATATAACCTTATTATATAGTTTGGTACATATATTATTTTGCCTATTAAATTTTTCAGTACCTTATAATTATCGGACTTTATTTGAACGGACATTAATTTCCGTTCAAATAAAGTCCGGATAAAATAGTTAAATTAAATACTGATCATGAATGTCTTCGAGGGTGTATTTAAAATTCTTAGTAGTAATGCACGTACGAAATGTTCACTAAATATTTTTTGTACATGCGTTCACTAAAACTCATCTCACGTTCTGAACGTTATGGATAAATTACTAGTAGTGTTCAGTTATATAGGCTAATGTAACTGCGTATAATGCGATTACACTATTAATTGATTGGACATATCTGAGTCTCGTGAAATAACTAATCGATTGCTATTGGCCGCTAGGATGGGATGGACCAAGAATCGGTCCGTCCCTATTATCTACAGTTGTGATGATTGTTTGAACGTTTTGCTTGGCTGCTGTGGATTTTCAGACCACCCAAGTATCACCCGTTAAATTACCTCTGAAAGCTATTAATATATCACAGTATCTAGATATCTTTCAGAAAATCATTGCGATTCAGGGGAGTAGGAAGGGGGGGGGGGGGGGGGGCACGGGGGGCGACCGCCCCCCCTCCCCCATAAAATCTTGGCAAGGGGCGGAAATTAGGGGCCAACATTTTTAGGCTTATTTGGTCAATCCGCCATTGCATTATCCAAATTGTCTTACTGCTAAAGACAAGGTGTAGTCCAAATTTACATTCCTCATTGCTAGAATTCCTTCCTTTAACTTTAAGCAAATTGTTCAAAATAATTGCAGATTCTCCCTCTTTGCAATTTTATTAACAATAAAACTTTTCTAATTTCCATAATATTAGTACCTCGGTGAACTAAACTCTGTTGACCAACTGTTTAAATCAGTCGCATACTAATTTTTCCTGCCTACACCCGTCAGCATTTTTATACGAAAAACTTACTAATCGTACTGATCAACTCAAGGCGTACTCCAAACCTGAAAAATCGAAAATAAGTTCAAAGTTTAGTAATAAATTGGAAATGATATGGTTTATTAGGTATATAGCTGTGGTCAGTTTACTACCGCACTCATCAGATACAAATTTCAAGTGTGGCAGTGCAATTGTTTCATATTGTAGCTCAAACTTGGCTCTCCTTCAAAGTTGTATCTATGTTGGTTTTGTACCCGTAAACTCTTATTAAGTTTTACTTCTTTGTTTTTTGGAGTCAGTCGGTGCTTTCCCCCATCACATCATGTCCTAATACCAGTACCACATAGTCATAGTAAATAGTCCATTATAATATTATTGTGCACCAACTAATTATATCCATTCCATTGGTCTCGACGTGATGAGGGACAGTCTACACTTATAGTTATACTGATAGCTTCAAAAGTTCGAGCTGGAATATTGAACAATTGAGTTGTGGGTATGGGAGCGTTCACATAATATGATGTTAGCAGCCGAGGGGAAGGGCTGGTTTGGAAATGCTGAACGGGGGGCCGGGGGGGGGGGGGGTCTGAGCCTTGCAGAAATGTAACGTGAATTTTGGGGAAAATTGTTGGTTCAAATAAATTTTATTAACAATAAAACTTCGCTAACTTCCTTAATATTAGTACTTCGGCGAACCTAACTCTGTTGACCAACTGACCAACTGTTTATATCAGTCGCATACTAATTTTCCCTGCATACACCCGTCAGAATTTCTATACCCCCTCGCTGGCTTATTATGTGTTTTAACTCTTACTAATTCGCTCGCCCAAAAATTATCACGTGACTTTATTTGAACGGACATTAATTTCCGTTCAAATAAAGTCCGGATAAGGTGGTTAAATTAAATACTGATCATGAATGCCTTCGAGGATGTATAATGTCCGTCGTAATGGTAAATTTGTTGTTTTCTTGAATTATTGACTAAATGAAGCCTTTTATCCTCAGATTGATGATTTTCTGCTTTGATTTTCATTTTGGAATACGAAGAAAACTTACCATTTATAGTAGTCCGGTCACCTATCGTGAAATTCTCCACACTTTTAGCAACATGATTAGAAGTCTACCCCTGATACTACTACTGTTCCCACTCTGTTACGCCCAGTACAGTACAGGACAGGCTTACAATTACTACGACTTGGGATCCGACTTGGAATCCGCTGTCGACTTGGGATTCGCTGCCGACAACGAAATAGCACTTGTGAAGTTTCTAGGTATGTTGCATTATCAGTTATCACGAAAACTTAGGGGTCATTTGCATATTATATCGATTTTTTGATCCTCAATATACGATCTTGGAATCGAGGCCTTCACAACAGCAAGCCACTCTCCTAGTCCCCTTTGCAATGCGAGCTCGGAGGCAGGGAGCCTGCCTTCAGAGATACGTGTTTCTCTACCCTGATAAGCTACCCTGATAAGCTACCCTGATAAGCTACCCTGATAAGCTACCCTGATAAGCTACCCTGATAAGCTACCCTGATAAGCTACCCTGATAAGCTACCCTGATAAGCTACCCTGATAAGCTACCCTGATAAGCTACCCTGATAAGCTACCCTGATAAGCTACCCTGATAAGCTACCCCGATAAGCTACCCTGATAAGCTACCCTGATAAGCTACCCTGATAAGCTACCCTGATAAGCTACCCTGATAAGCTACCCTGATAAGCTACCCTGATAAGCTACCCTGATAAGCTACCCTGATAAGCTACCCTGATAAGCTACCCCGATAAGCTACCCTGATAAGCTACCCTGATAAGCTACCCTGATAAGCTACCCTGATAAGCTACCCTGATAAGCTACCCTGATAAGCTACCCTGATAAGCTACCCCGATAAGCTACCCTGATAAGCTACCCTGATAAGCTACCCTGATAAGCTACCCTGATAAGCTACCCTGATAAGCTACCCTGATAAGCTACCCTGATAAGCTACCCTGATAAGCTACCCTGATAAGCTACCCTGATAAGCTACCCTGATAAGCTACCCTGATAAGCTACCCTGATAAGCTACCCTGATAAGCTACCCTGATAAGCTACCCTGATAAGCTACCCTGATAAGCTACCCTGATAAGCTACCCTGATAAGCTACCCTGATAAGCTACCCTGATAAGCTACCCTGATAAGCTACCCTGATAAGCTACCCTGATAAGCTACCCTGAATAGCTACCCTGATAAGCTACCCTGATAAGCTACCCTGAATAGCTACCCTGATAAGCTACCCTGATAAGCTACCCTGATAAGCTACCCTGATAAGCTACCCTGATAAGCTACCCTGATAAGCTACCCTGATAATCTACCCTGATAAGCTACCCTGATAAGCTACCCTGATAAGCTACCCTGATAAGCTACCCTGATAAGCTACCCTGATAAGCTACCCTGATAAGCTACCCTGATAAGCTACCCTGATAAGCTACCCTGATAAGCTACCCTGATAAGCTACCCTGATAAGCTACCCTGATAAGCTACCCTGATAAGCTACCCTGATAAGCTACCCTGATAAGCTACCCTGATAAGCTACCCTGATAAGCTACCCTGATAAGCTACCCTGATAAGCTACCCTGATAAGCTACCCTGATAAGCTACCCTGATAAGCTACCCTGATAATTATGAGCGAGCGTGCTAAATCACTCTACAGTCGATCTTCGAGATTGTTCTAAAAGGGCCCCCGACAGTTGAAACCAACTTCAATAGATGTATTTTCGGACGCTGATTCCGAATCACCCCTTATGACATAGGGTTAAAATGCTCCCCTGACGAGATATTGGCGAAAAACTGTCTCGATCACGTGATATGACCGTATAAGGAAGTTAGTCCAATTTCTCGTTAGGGTTAGGGTTTCAGCATATGATTTTGTTAAGGATTGGGTTAGGGTTAGGGTTGGGATCAGATTAGAGGGTTAGGGTTTCGAATAGTCGTTCAGGACCAGCTAGAGAACGAGTTGAAAAAGTCACGTGACAGTCGAGTGTAGAGTGATTAATCATCATCCAATTATGAGCAGAAAATCGGAAAATATATTTCCGTACCTACTAGTCCTCGAAATTTTATTTTTGGCGATTTCTAAACTACTTACTTTAGCAGGATATGCGATCGGTTTTAAAATTTTGTCACTATCAGATTATCAGAAAGAGATTAGGTGGAATTTGAATTGAAAAATTTTCGTATTTATTATTATTACATTATTACAAATATGAAAATGTCGATTACATAATCGACAGCCAAACCCCTCATCCTTATTAACAAACAGGAGCCGGAGGAACGATAGCATTGTTAATATTGGCACTAGTGGAGTTCGTTCTCATTATCGTGTTCTTTTGCGGTTTGTGTTGTAAATGTTGCTGCTGTTCCTATCTCAAGTATCGCCCAGCCGCACCCCCAAACCCACAGGTTACTTTATATCACCAAGTATTTTTTAGATATATTTCCCCATTCACATTAAAAAGGTAAAGATTTAGCGTCCGCCTATGTCCTAATGGGTGCAATATTATTCTTATATTAGTTACTGTTAAGCATGATACACTATAGGCATAGCCTCACGACAATAAATTAATTACTAAAAAAATACAAATTAAAATTCCCATCACAACGTTTTTTGTATCACGTCGTGACCCCCATGATTGTCGCCCCACTTTCGCGAGAGCCACGATACAGCCGCGCGCACTACAACCTGTGGCAGTAATAATACTATTAATATTATCATGTCTAATTTTCATCACACCAGGTTTCACTCCTACCCCAACAGCAACAGATAGGTATGGTACCAGCTACAGGTATGGTTTACCCAAACATGACGGCCCCTACCAGTACGTACAACCCCCCCAACCCCATCGTGTATGGACCTGGTGAGTATGCGAGAGAGGACCCTCCAGAATACATCAGCTCCAAGATGGACGCTCCTATCCTTGAAAACATGGAGTGATCATTTGGACAGCTTCGACTAGGATGAAGGACTTGCTATGGAGTAACTGTATTTATGCAGTCAAATCATATTAATTTATTGCTATGAAGTGACTGTCAAATCATATTGAACAGTGTTTTTAAGTGAACATTAATTATACTTTATATTAAGTGCGCAAAAGTTTCAGGAAATCCGTCCAAACCTTTTATACACCTCCAATGTCATGTTACCAAATTTAGCAAAAAACTTAAGCAAATTTGATTGACACGCGTTGCATGTGCAACCCCTTTTCGTGTGCACGAGAAAAGTATACTATTAGTAATAGTAATACAACGTGTAGCAAAAACTTGAGCGCAGTTGATTTTTACAAAAATGTTTGAAATTTCCGTGGATTTTTTAACATATTTTACACAAATACATATAAATATCGTACCACAGCGTCACGAATTGTTTTTATTCAAGTCAGCCACGGTACATCTTTTACTAATTTTTTCATGAAATGTACTTATAATAACGCAATTAATTTTCAACTTCCGTTTCATTGAATGCCAGGCAGTAAATCGTACTTCATATTTTATTGAACAGGCCACAACTTCAGCTGATCGATCCCAGTATTCTTTAAGCACCAGCACTTAAAGTAAAAGTTGATCCTGCAAATTGAACAACCCGGCCCCTCCTCATGCACAGTGTATCAGTAGCTCTGTAAGCTTATCTCTAAACCACATTTCCCTACAGTAAGGATGTTTAAGAGTGCTATGTCAGTATCTCTGTAAGCTTATCTCTAAACCACATTTCCCTACAGTAAGGATGTTTAAGAGTGCTATGTCAGTATCTCTGTAAGCTTATCTCTAAACCACATTGCCCTACAGTAAGGATGTTTAAGAGTGCTGTGTCAGTGGCACTTCTTCTCTCACTGGCACTGATAGTGGAGTGTTCTGATGATTTGGAACTTACATTTTTTGGCGTTTTCAGTATGGCAGAAATTGAGGTAATAGTAATACGATTTAAACAATTAAATGAGTTGACAATTAAATGAGTTGATCCTTGTTTCCAGCTTGCCACTTCTAGATCTATAATAAGCATGTTCAACGTGTTAATGCAATGGTTAAATAAATTGAGACCTATTTTTCAGGTACTTTCGTTCGCCGTGTTTCATGCAGGAGCTCTAACTGTGCTGGTAGCAGCAGTGGCTGTCATGACAACAATCCTGGGCATATTATCCGGTTGTTGGTAAGAGTTATATATATAGTCGTATCACGTGATTAAGACAGTTTTTCGCCAATATCTCGGCAGGGGAGCATTTTAACCCTATGTCATGGGGGGTGATTCTGAATCAGCGTCCGAAAATACATCGATACGAGCTGGTTTCAACTGTCGGGGGCCCTTTTAGAACAATCTTGAAGATCGACTGTAGAGTGATTTAGCACGCTCGAATTCGTAACATGACCTGGTGAATAAATATTTGAATATATATGTATCTAACAGGCTAATATAGGCTAACATTTATTTTAATTAAAACTCCTAACCCACTACCATGTTGTTGTTCAGGTGCTGCAGATGTGGTTGTTTCGCGAAACCCTACCAACCAACAGAACAGCTATATGTCATGCAAAATCATGCTAGCTACTAGTGAAGTCAATCCTGATTCGGGAATCCCGAGCAAAAAAGGTCCAGGGATTCCCGAAAGCAAATGGCAACAGGCGAAATTACGCCACTGCGCTCATCTTTAGTTCCCATTTTGTGTAATAAAGTCATGTCCATGTCATGACTCAACTTTTAATTTTATGGTTAAACTTATGTTTAAGTTCAATAGTACAATTTAAGCTGTCTCATAATGTCACAAGAAGATATCACAAGTGTCATAATTAGCCTTCTTTCTCAAGTAGTACCTTATTATAGTACATATTATTATTCCATACTGACATGGTTTGCTTTAGATAATCTTATTTTCCTAAAAACACTTTTATACTGTGGTGATCGTTGAGTAAAGGATTTACTCTAGATTATATAGATGTTATATAGATTATATTGATGTTTTTATCACGAACGAATTGTTGAGAAAACCCCCTATAAGACTTGGAGACTTGATACTGGTCTGTAAAAATTTTTATCTTGAAGTCACATCATTTTTAAGACATGTTTTAAAGTACATACTATTAGTATTAATAACGGTACAAAGCAAACTATGCAATTGTCAAACTATAAGTTTCATGTTTGAAAAGCAATCTTCAGTGACATAATTAACATAAAAATGGCAAACATTATACAACACAGTGCTCCTTTATCAAATTTTATAATTAACAATTAACAATTACTCAGTACTACTAAACCTATATAAATAACTACAAATCCTAATAACTAATAAATACTAACTAAATATGTCTAACTAAGAATTTCCTAGAGTGCCTACATTTAGAAATAATTTCTGATCTTTTATTAATAGTGCCTGGGTTTTTAAGTATGTATAGTTTCTCGTCTAAGCAGAGGCCACAATGCCCCGCTCCAGCCTTATATTTCTTCGATTTAGTAATAATCTTCCAGTCTATGCTATATTCAATCATCTTCTCCTTGAGGTCCCATATCAATTTTGATAACTCGGTACTCAGTCTGTGCTTAGAATTCTTGAAACTTTGTCGATGATTGTACCACCGTGTCTTAAAACTGTTTTCAGTCAATCCAATATAGGCCGTTTCCTTGTTAGATGCCGTTTTAACGGTTGCTTGGTATACTATGCATTTGGCCAGACATTGTCCTTTGAGGGGGCACTTCGAGGCGTCTCTGCAATTACACTCTTTTTCTGGAGCTTTTTTCTTTTCAGATTGTTTCTCTAGGACTGATTTGTGGTGTCCTTTGAGTATCCTTCCCAAACTGGGCATGCAGCAATAGCTTATTTTCACGGTATTCCTATTGATGATTTTATGTAACGGTAGGTTTTTCGGGAAATGCTTATCGATGAGAGCGAAGAACTTTCTTCCGATGTTGGTTGAAACGTTCGCACTGAATGGGGGATTGTACCATAGGATGTTCCTCTTCTGCGATCTCTTTCTCTTTTTAGGCGGTGGTGTTTTATAATCGATGGTGTGACTATATCCGCTATCTCTAAGTGCCTTCTCATAATCGCTTTTGGCTTCATTTAGGCATGTCCTGTTGCTGGATATGCTTATCAATCGTGATTCTATCATCGAGGGTAAGTTCTTCAATATGATGGGAGGATGATTGGATTCTGCGTTAATGTACAATGGTGTGTCATTTGGTTTCCTATAAGGTCTGTATGACTTGTCTGTTAGGTCTAGCACGACATCTAAGAAATCAACCGAATGCTGACAGATGCTCCTAGCTACAGCTAGTAGAGCCCTTTTTCTATAAGAGAAGATAACCAGTTGTACTATTAGTATTATGTAGTTTCACAATTTTTTAAATTTTGTGTTTGTATTGCAATACTTTATCGGACCTTATTTGGACGGACATTAATTGAACGCTGGAGGCCCTAGCGTTCATTTTAAAGTCCGTTCATTTAAGGTCCGTCCAATTTAAAGTCCGTTGAATTTAAAGTCCGTTGAATTTTTTTCAAAAATTTTTCCACTTCGAACTTTTTGTCCCGAATATGTGATATGACAACTTTTTAATTTTAGTCAATTTCAATAGCTATCATTAGACTAAACTATATCATTAAATCAATGAAAACAAGTTATTATAAAATTTGTTGTTATTATAAAAGTGTTGCCAAGGACATTGTCCGACGTTGTTGTATAATTCATATTACTCAGGGGAGGTAATGAAACAGATAAGTGCTGGGAAAGCTCCACGTAATGTTAAGGTTAACCTAACGTTGTCTAAGATAAAACCACTTCACGCCAGATGGCTTGTAAAAGTTTACACTGAAATGCAGGACCGAGGTAGTTTGATAAAAAAGGTTTCCAAAAAGAGAGTATTATTGATGCTTTAACCATGGAATATTTAATGCACGAAAACCCATTTGATGAAGATGATATGATATTAAACTATTAGACACTGATCGTGTACACATATTTCAACATTTTTACTGCTTAACGATTGCTTTTCTTGCCTACTGTATGAAAAATGGATTTAAAAATCATTTGCTAAAATTTAAAAAAACGTCAAAAAAAAAGATGGAAAAAATTTGGATTTTTTATGGTTTTGAATGCCTCCTAGCGTTCATATTATATGTCCGTCCAAATAATATAAGGTCCGATAAGGTATGCTGTACGTTTTTATAGACAGAATGAATACATTTGTCTCTGTAATCTATCGTCCACCTGATGCACTCATTCAATCATGATCACAACATATATGCAATTAGTTCAGAATAAAGTTTATAAGAATGGAAATACTTTGAGCTTTACTAATGGAAAGTTTCACAATGTTCTAGAGTCTACATCATCCATTTAAACAGAAAAAGGATGCTACATATCACAGAATGACTTGATTTTCCGTTTAAACTATTAAAGTAGCCATTTTATAACTTCATGCCCTTAAAGCAATGTTTTCTTTGCATTGGAAAGAAATTATAAGCTCTCTGTGGAATTTTGCTACAAGTTGAATTGACGAAATTTACGAAATCAGGTATAAATCGACAAAATGGCGTACAAGGTCAACATTTGTAACGGAAACGAAACAGCGCGCCAAACAAGGTAGACTGACTGAAACATTTCTCACGTGCGATGTCTCTACTGCGCGTTCCACAGACATGTTGGCACCATTTCACTGAAACTCTGGTTTTTTTGCGCCGTTGCTAGCTCGAGTTATATTTCAAAATGTGTGGGAGTAGGCGTGTTTCTGACTTGTCCTATATTATTGCGTTTATCAAATACACGGATATTTGTAAACTTATCATACTTTAAGTTTATGCTATCGTTTGGAAAAGTTATTTGTACATAGATTCCAAAAATTTTCATGATTGCATCATTTTAAATTTAATACAATTTATCATAAGCTTTTGAAAACAGCCCGACGCTGTGCCCAAATTTTAGCAAAATAACGCCGTTTTTTCGTAACACTTTTTTTTATTCGACTAGGCCGTTTTAAAATCACGATATTCTAACAATGCACGTTTTCCCAGAATTATGGCTGTGTGTTCTGATCTCATCATCGTTAGAACTATACCATGATACCAAAAATTTGTAAATCCGAGAAACAAAATAATTATTGATTATCACCTATTTATTTTTATCGTACGTGCACCCCCTACTTAAAGTACGTACGGTGCGAGGTTTTTTATTAGTACGTACCGTACGGCGTACAACTGCTTTTAATGTTAAAGTACAAAATTTTTTCCCGATCCATGACTCAAAGTGCCGAAGGCACAAAAGAGTCAAGGACAAGGGTTAGCGAACGAGGTTTTTTGTATATGGTAGCTTTGAGACCGTGCGAGCGTGCGTACATACGTGCCCTCAGCTCGCGCACTGTTATCGCCCACGTGACTACCTGCGCAAAGTTATTTTGCGCAATAATCTGAATTAAATAATTGTTGGCGCGCGGCGCTGAACGGACCAAGTACATTACTAATTTCACCATGTACATATCCCACTAGGCACTAATTGATAGCATACTATTATTATTCTGAGTTACTAATACTATTTTGCACAGATCTGTGTCGGGTGTCAGGTTGCATAGACCAAACCAACTATATTTACCTCAATTCTCTAGTCTTTTCAGACGCAGAATCTTCTACACTCTCTGACTTCTTCTGATGTCTGGGACTTACGACCCCAGATGTAGCTTTCAACGACGTTTTAAGGGCCCGACGTTCAGCTGTTCATCAGGGTTAAACTGGGCAGGGTCTTTCGGCCAGCTGCCAGTTGTCACTCCAGGTCTTGTTGTAGCGACTAAGCCAGATAGTGTAGGAACCTTTCAGGGACACCACCGCTGTTGTGTTAAGTGCCCTCTTCTTCTTTGCCCGGGTGATGTTAAGGAAGTTGAAAATTCGGGGTAATGTGTGGTGGTAGAATCCACGACATCCAACTTCTACTGTAAAGAGATATCCTTCCCAGCCTGCGGTCTCGATCTCCACCATTAGCTCTTCGTATCTCTTCTCTTTCCGGGATCTCTGGTCCTCAAAGTTCTCCTCGTTTCCACAGGTCAGCTCTATCAGGATGACTTTCCTGAGTGTGTTAGAGTATATTACCACATCAGGTCTGAGAGCTGTGTTGACAATATGTTGGGGGAATTGTCTTGTCCTTTCGTCCTCATCAAACACTAGTTTCCAGTCGTTACCTTCCTCTAGAAGATGAGGTTCTTCTGTAAGCCGTACTTCGGGTTTCCTGTAGGTTCCTTTTCCGGATACGAACTTCCTCCACTCTCTCTTTACTTCTGTCTTTGGGGTAGCACTGTTTATCTCCCTCAGCTTCTCTGCAATTGGTTGCACGATTACCCTGAGCACCTGATCATGTCTCCAATTATATCTTCCTTGTTTAAGCGACACTGGGCAACACGTTAGAATGTGCTTTAGGTTGCACTGCTGACGCCCACAAAGGGGACAGTTGTTCGTGGAGCTGTAGTTCCAAAGCTGGAGGTTGCTAGGTGTACTTGCAACGTCGTGGATGGCATTTAGGTGGAACTTTGTCAGCTCGGGGCTCAAGGTATACAGCAGGCTTTGCCAGCCAGTGTCTAGCTGCATGGTGTTCTCCCAGGTTAGAAACTTTCCTTGGACTCTCTTATCGTACAGAGTTTGAAGGAGTTCCTCTTCTTTCAGAGACTTAATTATCTCCACCAGTTGCTCCTTTTTGTTCTTCTTCCTCCTCTGATCACCGAATCCAATACCGGCTCCTTCCCTGGTCTGCACGTAGCCAATCAGTTCTTTGAAGTAGAGGTCTCTCTCCCTATTAGTCAGCTCCTTGGTGTAGTCCCATCTCTTCTTGTCTCTGTTGGTGTTTTCTCTGTACTCGAAAACCATAAGTGTATGTTTATATAGAAATATACACGATTTTCAAATTCAATATGGAAATTGGAATTATATTAACTTGGTGGCGCTCGGCCTGTCACTCCACCATATCTGCATGCTTATAAACAGTAAAAACTGGGGTCCCCAGGTTGTATGGAATATGATAAAATACGCCATCACGGATCGGGAAATTGAGCGGCCATCCACAAAAAAAGCGGCCGCATTTCTTGTTCTGAAATAAATTGTGTCCATTTTTTACCTTTTTTTATATTTATTTTGAATTGTAGTTGACGAAGTGAGAGTCTCCACTCAGTGTGTTGAAACATAATTTTTTGTCGACGTTTCGGCTACATGCCTTTGTCATAGACAGGACGTATTACTATTGATAACTTACATAGCTCAATAAATGTAATAGATTTGTAGTGTTGCAATTAGCAAAAAAAGATTACCAGCTTTTTTATATTGTTGTAAAATTGGCAGGTATGTATGCAATTTTCAAACCACGATTTAATTTTGGTGCCAGTGAATGCTAAAGACGAATTAAACACTTTTTAGGACAATAAATTAATTTGAAAAACTGCAATTATACTCAATAGAACTAGGAGTACGTACACACCACACATGTTTAAAAAGACCCCTTCCCGTCAGAAAAACATTTCTCAAACGCTTTTTCGATCTCTTCTTTTTGTCCAATATAGTTGGTGAAGCGCTTTCTTACATTCTCAACACATTCTGGCAGTCTCTTGTTAGCTTTGCACGCGTTTTTAGTAAACTGCCCTGTTAGTGACCAGAAGTGAGCTGCTCCAAAGGTAACTTGTTTCATGGCAATAGTGGAGTCCACTGTTTTGTCAACCCCGCTCGGACAAGTCATGTGCATCTTCACCGGTATATCAGACTGGCCAATCTCATACCTGTCCACAATACCGAAGACGATCCCTGCACCCGGCACTTCAAATCCCGTGACCTGTCCGTGTTCTTTCGTGTTGCTAATTGTTGTTACTGTTGTTTCAGAGGTTCCCATAGTAATAGCTCCACCTATTCCTATGGAAATACCCGCTGAGAAAGATGATCCAGTTCCCAGGAATCCTACTTCAACGGATATTTCTGCAGATGCTGTTACGTCCCAGTTCACTTCATCTGATCTAGAAATTTCGAGACTTACTGATTCTTCCACAGAATTTACCTGCGTTATTGCGATCTCGTGTGAGGCTGGTCCGTAACAGGATCCACTGGATTGAGAGCCGATGATTTCGGTTCCAGTGTACTTAGGCTCTAAATCTCCTTCCTTGTCCAATACTTCGATTCTGGACAGTGTGCACTTTTCCTTTCCTTTGTACGCCTCACAGATAGGTCTCAGAGAAGAGATCCTGTTACTCCATCCATAAAGGTTGTCGATAGTTTCGCCTTCTTTTATCACTGATCTGGCACCTTCATAGCCTTTCAACTCATACATCTCCCAGTCTCCTTTGTCGGCAACCATAGAAGTTATCCTATTGCTCATTTCTGCTCCTAAATCTTCCTGTGGCAACAGGTACTCCGTCGTTCCATACTGAAGATGGGAACTTTTAGAAACACGTAATCTAGCTGTCGCAGGATCGGAGATGTAGCGGCAATTAGCAGGTCTTGCTGAGGAATAAGCGTTGATGTGTTTTACGTTTAACTTCCGACCTTCCTCCACATAGAACCTTGTTCCGGCGTAATCTGCGTGGGTGTAAAGCTCCCAATCTCCGCGATATGCCCAAACGCTGTCGGTGTCATCATTAAAACCTATGTTAGCAAGGTTTGTATATGGTCTTATAAGTGTTCTGCCCTGTCCTCCTTGATTAGGGTGTGAGTATATCATCAGTGCAGGGGTAATAACACAAGCTCCAACTGCGAACAGGGCGAGCAAAGTCAAGGCAGTCACTAACATGTCTGATCATGAGTTTGATTGTTAGTTTGGCAGCAAATACAATAGACAAAATAAATGTACCTCAGGGATTACCTAATATGTGAACCCCCCCCCCCCCCCCCGCCCCCCCCCCCCCCCCCCCCCCCCCCCCTTCGACATTACTGGGCCGCGCTCAGCCTGTCATTCCGTCGAATCTCTATATATATGTTTATGAACATAATAGCCTGAGGTCCCCAGGTAACTTCGACAATGTAGCAT